CCGAATTCCCCTTCTGCCTTTTCGTTCGTTTTCAGGTTGTCCAAAATGGCCCGGGCCGTAGCCATCCGAATTCTCCTTCTGCCTTTTCGTTGGTTTTCAGTTTGTGCAAAATGGCCAGTGCCGTAGCCATCCGCATTCTCCTTCGTGTCTTTTCGTTCGTTTTCAGTTTGTCCAAGATGGCCCGGGCCGTAGCCATCCGAATTCTCCTGCTGCCTTTTCGTTCGTTTTCAGTTTCTCCAAAATGGCCCGGGCCGTAGCCATCCGAATTCTCCTTCTGCCTGTTCGTTCGTTATCAGTTTGTCCAAACGGCCATGCTACCAATAGCGGCTGCTACCGAGGAGCTTGGCTACGCAAGCAGGCTCACTTCCTCGAGAAGAGCGAAGACTGTGTGCTGCCATGCAGCGATGATTTCGGACGCCAAGTTAGCCCCTTGTAACGAGTTAGTTGTCCACTGAGGTGGAAGAAGTGCTCCCATCACATGCACGACATGCACAGTGGCCTGTTTTCAGAGTTCGAGTTCCAAGACTTGTCGGATCGGGTTCTTCGCACGGCCCATGGTGGAAGCGGTGATATGGTATATACGGTACGGTATAGTCTCAGAGCTGGTCACTGGGCGTGCAGTTCAACCACCGTTTCTCCAATGCATTGTTTAAGTTCTCCGGGGGCATTCGAAGGCAGCTGCAGGTACCACCCACCGTTTTCTCGACGATGACAGAGCGGCAATACGTTCCATCATCATAGTGATCATTGCGCCTTTGTGTACTACAACAACAACGACGACGATGATCACAGCTGTTTCTTCTGCGCCACTCCTGCAAACGTAACACCTCTCCTGCACTGCTACCAGCACCCCCATCACCCCTCCACAAAACCAACACCACGATGTGGGCGACCCGACTGCTGCCAGTGCAGCAGCAGCAGCAGCAGCAGCAGCAACAACAACAACAACATGAAACTGTACTTGTCCTCCTCAAAGTCCGTCGCAGTGTTGCATAATCCCGCCAGGTGAAGAGCAAAAGACACAGTTGCAGTAACAACAGCAAGGATCGTAATCACGTGAGGTTTCTTTTCCTTTGGTTGGGGGTTGAACTGAGGCAAAGACTCCGCCGCGACGACAGCTTCTCAGCGAGCAGTTCCTTGGCTGGCCGAAGGCAGGGTCATAAACTACACAGAGGCACGCTGGAGTCCGGGCGCTCGATTGTCCCGTGTCAGAGATGTGGAGTCTGAGTTCTTTGTTTCAGCCCAATCTACATACATAAGTAAATAGATAAATGAAAACTATATATATATATATATATGCGAACCTATACCATCCGGATGTGTCAGCGGGATCTGGAAAGAGGGCCAGGCTTGCAGCATGTCAAGCAGGGCAAGATTCGGTGAAAAGTGTGTATGAACAGGTCACCAGGCACATCATCTTGTGTAGATGAGTTGCTTGAGCTGCTGCCTTCGTCCTGACCGGTTGTTTTCCCGCGCACAGTGCTGGCTCTGTCATCCGCGGTGGAGACGATGACGCACTAGATGCACTGCACTTGACGACACCCGACCGGCTTCAAAATCTTTCAAGCTACGCCAAGCCAAGGCTCTCTCGCAAGATGCAGGATTCCTGAGACAACGCAGTGGCAGCGATGCCTTTGGTCGTCAAATCAGTGACTTGACATTATTGCGAGGCTCGCACACAGTGATGCCGGGCCCCAGATCCTCCAAAGCAGCCTCGACTGCACTCTAGTACTATGGTACTGGAGTTTCTCGATTATGGCTTTATGCCGGGCTCGACAGCTAGCGTGGCTCCTGGAATGGAACCAGGTGTAGTTATGCTTGAACTGTGCAGACTCAGTTTCTGCAGCTCTTGTGAGTGTTCAAGAAGTTTCCGACCTGTTCTGGCGCCACGCGAACTGGCCAAACCCATTGAGCCATTTCTCAAGTCAGACCTCGTAAGTGAATGTAATGACTGGGCTTCACTATGACTATCGGTTATAATCTCAGTGAGTTGGTTCGGCATGAGCACGTTCCCAGTCATTCCAGCGGAGACAGAGCTTTGTAGAGCCTTGCCTGCCTTGTGCGAGTGTGAAAGTCGAAAGTCTTTAGGTTCTCAGGCTCGTTTCTTTGCTTTGCCTTGGTTTCTCGCAGCATGCGTCAGCCAGAGTGTAGAAGCTGAGCAGTGCTGTTCACCTCGAAGTTTGCTCTGGGTGCCTGGCCCCAAGTGTTGGACATCGAGCCGACTCCGACCCAGCAGGCCAATGTTCAAATCGCATGAAGCTTTCAGTCTTTCAGTGCAGCGCGGGATCCAAGAGCTTGGATCTCCTGCCTTTTTCCGGGCTCAGGCAAAGAATCCTCCGCGCAAGCCACTTGCCTGCAGTTTGCAGATGTCGGGCCAGGGCTCCGTCTTCTTGGTCCGGTTCAATGTATTGGACCTATCAGACTATGTCTATAATGAGCCCCTAAATCATTCCAACTATGAATCACAGCGGCCAAATTCTTGAGACGCCAAGGCCATGGCGTCCGACATGCAGAAGTTCCAGCAACCCACACTTCTCACTTCCCTTCCCTCCTTGCGAGCTGAGACAGCCAGCCCGAGCCTCGCCAAAATCATGTGAGGGCAGATCCCAGAAGACACATTTTTTCCGGTGTGGTCCCCCGTGCTTCACTTACAGAACCCCGCCTCTGAGAACCACCGTAACGTTTCAAGGGCCAGCATCTTCGGGCGGGACCTCATGACCCAAAGCCTGAGCGTCTGCAATCCTCGAGCATTCTAGCACAGACTGCAAATGTAGCGTGCGTCCTTGCAAGAGGTGTCAGAGAAGAACAAGAACAGCTCACGACCTTGTGCTTGTGCTTTCTCGTCTGGGGAGACAATAGCAGCAGGCATGGGTCAACGGGTATCGCTGAAGGTCGGGACCGCGTGCTTTAGCCAAAGTGCTTCGTAGTACCAGAAGCCTCGCCAGGCTTGTCCCAGTTGTGAGTGCTGAAACTCCACTGAGCTCTGGCGCAATTCCATGGGCCAGAGCCGTTAGCTAAACGGGATGCGGACTTGAAGATCCGATACTTAAGGGCACCGGAATAGGGTGCCACTAGTTTATTTAGGCGCCTCTTCGATTTTGACGAAGACCCACAGCAACGCTTTCAAGAGCCCAGGAAGTGGCGTGTCGACCACGAGGTGTTTGGGAGCCCCACGCTGATGCCGCACCTCGAGGTAGGCCCAGAACCTCTGGAGTTGTCATTGTTGCGCTCTTGAGAACGCCAGGAGCTCGAAAGTGGGATATATCGATCCGGCCAGCGCGAAAGTTCTCTGCTCTCCACCATGCACCGGGGCGGCGCTTAACTCGGAAGGCTTCTTTTTGGCTGCTATTTGATACATTATTATACAGTATATATTATAGAATTACTGTCACTATATACTATATCTGCTCAACAGCCCCAGTTCGCAGAGAAGTTCTGCCTCGCAAGCAAGGAGCCTCTTCACGAACTACTCGAAGCGAGTCTCGCCGAAGGGGCTGCTAGTACCTTTGAGATTCACGGGTTTTCGTGTTCAGACAGTTGAAGGAGATTCTGCCTGGCAAGTCCGAGGGAAGAGGGAGAGAGCTGAGTGACCTGTGTCCACTTCAGACTCGTCGGAACGACCTTCCACATCAGTGCTTTCAGGCATGCTGTAGTATCTCGAGTTGCCCGTGCACAAGTTCGGCCGAGGCTGAACGAGCCAGCTTATGAATGCTGGAATGTCGCGACATCATGATCACAGCTCCGTATTGCGTATACATCAGTAAGTCTGGAGAGGTCAGGAAAGGGAGGAAGCACAGCTACGATGGTGAGCCATGTCACCAGCAATGGCAACAAGCGTTTCTGTAGGCAAGACGAATCAGCGCCAATAAGGAAGGATGGATGAAAGCAGATGGCGCTACTAGTTGCCGAACCGCCCCGTATACTGGTGGACCCTAGAACTAGAAGGCTAAGAATGCAGTTGCATTGATTGGGCCACAGTCGCTGGTACATACCTAATATGTAATATTTAATATTGCTTACGTTTCAACGGGCATACTAGAACCTAAACCCTAAACCCCACAATGGCATAGTAGTGGTCGCAGCTCGTTGTACTAGTATCACACCGACTCGAACCTATGGAACCTCGCCTGGCTTGTCCGAGATGTGAGAGGGAAAGCCCCACTGCCCCACAATGGGCATACTAGAACCCTAGCTGCCGTTTTATTCGCCCGAGAGTCCGAAGCGGAGCCGGGGGAGTCCAGACGCTAATTAATTAGCAGGATTCGAGTTATTGGCTGTGTCATGAGGTTGAGCCTTTGACGACTGCACCTGAAGCTTAATCGTTTGCAAGTTTTCGTTCAGCTTGTGCTCATGCCACTTCGGCTGTTACTGGAGTGTGTGGGTGGGTTTCTGGGTTCAGTCCGAGTATGTCGCTTGAATTTGGGTCATGGGAAAGGGACTGTTTGCTGAAATTGTGTGCTTGGTGCGGGATTCGCCAGTGCCACTACCTCAGCAGACCTCAATGAATGTGCCTCACGTGGAGTGTCCAAGAGCAGGAGGCAAAACGAACACCTAAACTTGGCCTCAACGGAAAGCAAGGCAGCGTTTAGGACGAACAGAAACGAGTCTCAAGGAAGCTGCGGCCGTGCCTTTCTGCAGAGAGTCGTGGACTCCGCGAAGTTTGAGTTCCTTTGTGGCCTGTTGACTCTCGTCCGTGCTTTGGTAAGGGTTATGTAACGGCTGCTTAAGGATTTGCTATATGCTATGTACTTCGGGCTATACAATGGCTCATTAGGGGTTATTCGGTGTGCAGGCAGTTGAAGCGTGTTGATGTTGATGGCATCGATATGGGGCATTGAGGTTTTAAGTCAACAGTGCTACACGTCCTCGTCCTATTCAAAATACACCGGATACCCCAGATCGAGTTAGCAACGGAACCAGTTGTCTAGACTGAAGTTCACGGGGCCACTGTGAGGCAGGCTAACGACCAAATCAGCAACAGGAATCAGAAGAAGAAGAAGAAGCAGAACGATGAGAGAGAGCCAGTAACAGAAGTTCACCATTCTCGCACCTACAAGCATAGTTGATACCTTTCGGGGGCGCTTTCCGATGCATTCCGCGGAGATCCGAGAAGCTTCGTCCAAGAATGGCTCGACCTTTCCTTAGGGCGTCCTGATGTATAGCCGGAATCTCCCGAGACCCGATTGCTTTTCGGGCAGGCCCTTGAAAGATTTGTTCGAGGTGCAGGTTTCCATGCGCAAGAGGTGTTAGCCACGTTGTCCTTTGGACTACTTTCAGGATCATGAGACTTGGAAACCAGGGTTGTGAATAAGGTAAGTGTAATTATGATTACTTATAACCGCGATGAAGGTACAACTGACTGTAAAGATAAGCTACCATCTCGCAGATCACCAAGGATCTTGGCGAATTCGGTTCTGCTTGGGGCCACCATTCACTGGCAAGCACGCCACCGCACAACTGGCATGCCGGACCGGGAAGATCTCGAAGGTTTGTAAATAATGACCCTAAAACGCAAGCACATCGATAAGGCTTGATTGAACAGGCGGAAGAGGGCGTTCAACAAAATCGACACTTGTGCTACGAGTCGAAACTCCGGCCACACAAGCTCCAGCAGACCTATTCCTCGCATCAACTCTACCTTGGACTGTCTACTGTAGCGAGTCTCTTTTGCAGGGCTATGTTCATGGTCATGGTTGCAGACGCCAAACTCAGAGGAAGCAATCAGCAATAATGTGCGCCCATTTTAGTGCGAACGTGGATCGTGAGCCGTTGTCACTTGCCGGATGTGTGGATGAGTGGCATGCAGCAGGACGTCATGCATGCGGTGAGCTTTGCCTTCAATGCCTCCTGGCCAAGCTGAACACTTTGTTTTCAAGAGTTTGCGGCTGGATGGACGGAGGGAGTTGTGTTGCGCGAGGCTGCTCGTGACGTGCATCGACTCAGTTAGAGATCACCTCAGTTTCTCGACGTCTTGTCAACTTTGCCGTACGCAAGGTTGGATTCAGTTTAACTTCAGGTACCTGGTGAGAACTACCCGGCCTTCCAAGCACAGTGGCAGAATTAAGGCTTTCTTCGTGTTGGAGCTCTGCGCACGGCTTGCTGCCTATGGGTGCCGAGCATTCTTCTGCACATCGAGACGCTATCTTGCACTAGAACATGCAGGGCACGTTGAAACGAGAGATCAGGGCTGAACTGGCCTATACTATAGGCAGAGCTGGTTGAGCCAAGGGCATCCACTCTACGACTCTACGATTCCATCTCTGCCACCGTAAGTTTCTGATCGAACCACGTGTCAAATCGTGTGCATTCCGAGATAGGAGCTCCTGTCAGATTCTGTTGCAGATGATGTTGCTGAATTGTCTGAGTCCATTTGATCCACGTTCTCCGCCGAGACTCATGCAGGCAACTACAAGATCAATTGGTTCGATACGGGAATCGTGTTGACGATCTTGCCGCAGCTCGTCGCGGATGTGTTGAACATGGATGCAACAAGGCTCCTTGCCTGCACCGCATATCCCACACAGTGGTGCTTTGTCAACAATAGGCCAGCACGCTGGTATGGAAGCATCAAGGCTTTCGGGTGGAGAGTGGGTGGTGAGATGCTAAGAGAAAATAGCTGGTGCAGAGGAGGCAACATCGCAAAGCGAACGGGTGCGAGAGAGACAGCCCGGGACTTCTTTGCAGATTTGGGCTGCTTGCAGATGCGGCAGAGAGCTGAAAGAAGATAGCTGCCGAAAGACATCGATCGTGATCGCTTTGCTGATTCTGGACATGATGCTTTTATCTTCCAGCATTTCAATCGCAGCTGGGAAGCGGTCATTGCTTCTGGAGATCTTGAGATTGTAGCCTACAAGATAGCGAGTACTCGCAGCGGTTCAGATATTAGGTAGACACCTCATCGGCCACAGCTTGAGAAAGTGGAGATTCTGCATGTTGCGTCGCACTCCGCACGAATATTCAACTTGATCTAGCGCGGTGACAGCAGGCGGTGACCCATTGCACTGAAAGGGCAAAAGTTGGCTGCGGTGCAACCGCGTACTGCACGTGTGCGTCAGGTTTTCACATCATGGCAGCAACTTGCGCGTCCTGCGAGCTCTCCGGCTTGTCCGACTTCTCCGACTTGTTCGGTTGCTGCGTGTTGTGCGGAGCCTCGGTGGCATGTTCCGCCTTGTCTTCTTCAGATTGTTTCGTCATAGTAGCAAGAGCTGCGACCTGGCAGTCTCCGCATGCCAACGGTGCATATCACCTGGTGATCGTGAGTCAGTTTCTTGCGCCCTTGGGACGTGCCAGATGTGTGTGGGGCTTTCAACCTAGCGGGAAGCTAGCGTGGGTGCAAAGCAGGCTCTGGATTTCCAGTGCACAATGCCAGAAGCGGAAACAAGCTGTGAAACCACGCACTCTTTGGTTTCAAGAAGTTTGGACTGACTTTCAAGTTCCCAGGGGTTCGTCGACTCCTGAAGCCTTTTAAGCCTTCTCTGAGGTTCTCCCGATCGCTCCAGACCCTTCTCCATTCCATCTTCGTGACTCTTCGAGATCTGCCGTGCGCTCAGCCGGCCAAGACTCGGACCCGACGGAAGCTGCGGGCACTGACGAGTGGGCCCCTGCAGATCATCGACAGAACCCAATCCCCCAGCTTGCAGCTGTTGGCATGTTTGCATGTACAGAGGTATATCCAGCCGAGTCGAGCCTGTCTGCTTCACTCCATGATCCAAGTTAAATTATCTGTGTCATGTACAGACCTCTGTATATATATATATATATGTGATATATATATATATATACAGCCTGCACCTGACTAAATGCACATACTACATATACATATATGTATATACACACATATATATATATATACACATATACTTGTGAGTGTGAGTGTGAGTGTGTGTGTGTGTGTTCATACTTATTGGTTTTATGTGTGTATGCATGTCTGTAACTGAATGTATGTACATATGTATGCATGTGTGTGTGTGTTTGTGCGCGTGTGCTTCTGTCTGCCAGCATGTGTTTTCGTAGGTAGGTAGGTAGGTAGGTAGGTAGGTAGGTAGGTAGGTAGGTAGGCAGGTAGGTAGGCAGGCAGGCAGGTAGGTAGGTAGGCAGGCAGGTTAGGTAGGAAGATAAATCTGTATGTATAAAAACACACACACACACACACATATATATATATATATATACACATATATATGTGCGTGTGTCGGGTTGTTTGTTTGTTTGGTTGGTTGTGTGATTAATTGCCTGGCTGTTTGATTGTGTGGTTGTTTGTTGTGGGTTTTGTTTGTTTGTTTGCCTGCACATACAAAGTGATATCTACGCTATATAGGAGTATATGGTATGATACACAGATAGACGTCTAGACATACAAACATTAAGCAGATATGTGTTTCCGAAGCTGAAGCCAACGACTAGCATCTACATCCGTGTGAACTTACACCATGCCCACAACAGACCAAAGCCTGCAAGCCTACATCCCGTCCTGCAATATGTGGCAGCTAACTGAAGGTTTTGGGCGATGCTGCTTCTGGCGCTGTTGGTGTACATGCTCCTTGGGGCTTGTCGGTCCGGATGTAGGTTCATGGTTTTTAACAGGAATGTTACAATGAAAGGTTGCAAAATGGCTGCAACAAAGTTCGAGAGCTTCCACTTTCACTTGATCGTGTAGGATGTGTTGGCCGCAGGTAAATTGCATCGTGCGAATCGTGCGTGGCTTTACTCCTAAGGTTCGCCGCAGCTTTCACAGAGGCTGTAAACCGTGCCCTTGTCAATTCTCCTGACGCCTTCTTGCCGGAGGATGAAACGGGAAGTTGGTAGCGATTGCGCGCCTAAGCCTTCAGAAAGGCTCATGCCTAAATTAGACTACCTTACCTGTGAGTATCTGTGAGTGCCGGAACCGCTCCCGGAGTGGCGAAACCGTAATCAGGGCAGGGGAGGTTGAGATGATTCGAAGTTCGAAGTGCAGTTGCCAGGCGTTTGGCTCCCATCAACCATCCTCGCTGTAGTATGTGGCTCTAGCTGAAGGCCTCAAGACGGTGAGAGCTGCATTTTCGAAGGTGACAAGTTCTCCATGCAGACATGCAAAGAGTCGTCCCGGTGCGTGCGAGCCCTCTAGGGCAATGTACGCCCAGATCGAGACCCATAACCCTCCTTACAAGAGATCCTGAAGCTCCTCGACTCAGCCAACAGGAGGCCGCGGCACTGGCAAGGCTATTTGGAGACCTGCAGCTGTCCATCCACACTCTGCTGCTCCATACTGAAAGTACTTTTTTTTTTCTGGAGCTGGGCATTCAGGCTTTCTATTTGGTGTAGGTCCAAGACTTTGTTGCACTTCCTCAAAATGGTTCCTTGCCTTGCATATTCCAGCAACCACTGTCCCCGTTGGCCAAGGTTCATGTCCATCGCTGGTGGTTTGCTGCTGGCCTGCATCGAAGATGGTCTCTGGGGCTGGGGCTTCCAAAGTTCAATCGGTCCTGCATCCTGCTTCTTCTTCCTGCTGAAGGTCCGGGCTCCAAGCCAAAGTGCATGTTTGCCAACTGACTTTATAAACCACGCACTGCACCACCGACACCAGCAACGACCAGTACCAAGTGCCGTCGTCAACTCGCAACAATTCGAGGACTGCAACGCTTAGGAATGCAGCAGAAACTTGGAAAGACGGCTGGGGCCCGCGGCCGAGCTTCACCGCCGGAATTCCATACAAAGGCCACGATGAAAGCCCTTGCGGTCCCAATGAATCTGCAAGGACCGACAAGCGTCCCGGCATCTGCCAAGCAACACATTCGGACCTAAGAAGCCGTTGGCACACACGGCACACGGAAAGCATTTGCGAGTTGCCGACTTGCGACAATAAGGTGCGTCGCGAGTCTTCTGTTTGAAGAAGCAGATTCGCACGTGACAAAACGAGCCACACACACACACACACACCTGGAGGCATGCAGGAGAGGTGATTTGTACACCGCATAGCTCCTACTGTGGAAAACTGCTGCTTCGCTGTATCCACTGTTCTTCGATACCCAAGCTTGCTACTACAGCCTCATCATCATGTACGCATGGCAGTTGCAGAAATCCTTGGCAAGTTGCTGTTGGTCGATGGTGTTGATATCAAAGGTCGTGGGTCGAGGCCACGAATGCGCTTCAACGGATCAGCTGGCGCCTAGCCTGCATGACACAGTCGATGCTTTTCGGGGAGTATGCGCGCACACTTGGCTGCCAAGACTGCTCAGAGACTTGCTGTCGCAAGTCGTCAGATTGGTATGTACTGTCACTACTGTAGTATACTGCATTATAAACTGCAAGGTCATATATGATTGTGTAACATAAATCGCAACTGCTCGTTCGGTGCTTCACATCGGCACAGGGCCTTGGCTCTCGAGAGACGAAGCGTTCTGTGCAGGCCGAAAGAGGCTGCGGCCGACCTTCAACTTGTGAAACGTGGAGCACATCTACAACAATCCGCATTCAATACGTGAAGCAACCAATTTGCCTGGTGGCTATGCTGTTGCATCTAGCGAGTCCGAGACTGTCGGGAATGAACATCATCTGCACCGATTGGGAGTCTGTGCTCGTGCCAGCTGCTTCAGGGCAATCCAGGAATGGTGCCGCATTCATTATCTCGGCCAAGTAGTTACCCGAAGTGGCACTAGAGTGATTCTTCACAAGCGAACAGGGTCGGGAGACGGTGGGGCACAGCTGCAGGCTCAAGACTCAATGCCCTGCAACGTCCTGCCTGAATGAAAGGTTGCGGTACTGCATCCACCCCAAATGATTGGTAATCTCGCCACAGCTGCCAGTGCTTCAGCAGAAGCCCCTGCAAGTCAAGGTGCTGGGTCTACCTCTTCTGCTCGTACGTGGCTTTCAGTTTATTTGCCGCAGTCTCAGCCCTCACAAAACCAATGATTGTGTTTGGGTTCTGCTGGCTTCCTACATGAAGAATCGCAGCAGCAGCTGTACCCTTGGCTGTGCAAGATATGAGCGATATGAGGCCGTCCTCAACGTGATGACAGGCCAGGGGCTTCCGGTTTGCCATATCATTGTGCAGACAGTCGATTGTTGTGGTCTCCTTTTTTGGTTGTGATGTGATGGCCTTGGCTATCATGCTGAGTCCAAGACAGAGGGGCCCGTGGACCCTTACATGTTCGAGACATACAATAGATAAGCTGAAGCAAAGCTCCGTAAATACATAGACGTAGCTATAGACATAGGTTTTTGTATAGACATAGATATATGAAAGATATGGGTATAAGACATGTATATACAATAAAAGAGCGGAAAAGAAAAGACATGGAATCTATGAATATCATGTCATTTTAGACTGTTCCATGTTTCAATATACTTAGCGCAAAATTTGCTGTTATTTGGATTAAGCCATTCTTTATTGTACTATCATATACTATAGTTCTATTCTATTCTTTTCTTTTCTATCAGATCATATTATGCTATGTTGTATTATTGTACATGTCCGTGTGACAAAACGATCAAACATAAGATAGCACAATAGACTAGACCATAATATAGTAATATATCAGAGTTCACCGTGATATACTATACCTCATTACACGATAGTATACTTTTTGGAATGTATATGACTTTACGGTGTAAGGTATCATATTGTGACCTTATACCCGGTCATACGAGATATAAGCAGATGATATAAGACAACCAAGTAAATAACGCAACGCTGTGACAGGCAACATTGGAAAATACAAGATAAACGAATTGAGATATCATGATAAAGCCGACATAGGTGAACATATGATAAGACAAGATACTATAGCACAGTACAGTATAGCACAATATAAGGTTAGATAAGACCATCTAGTATGTTATACAATAGTAAAGCATATTTTATCAGGTGTGACCTAACATGATACAACATATAAGAACATAGTATATCATCAAGCTGTACTCAGAAGTGGAAAGTGTGGTGATAAATATCCGCACATGTCCCCTGGGCATGGCTCCCGGCTGATTGGAGACAGCTGGGGGTTCAACAAAAAGCGTATCATCTGGTATTGAACTAGAATATACACAATACAGTATGATAGAGTAGAACAGCATATAGCAGGAACATACTACGATATGTATATGAGTAGAGTACAAGATAATATGACATCACATCTTCCGCCATAATGCAATGCACTAGAATGCAATGGAATATGACCTACAAGATGTACTCATAGACAGTGCAAAAGTTAATACAATACCATGATGCATTATAGCACAGCATAGGATACTATGCTATAATACTTTCATATACCACCATATGGTCTACTCTATAACTTCATGTAGCAGAATATATAATCATATATAGGCACACGCATGTATATGGGGGACGGGTCCCCTGCAGAGGTGTCTTCTGCAATTCTGCGATCAAGGGTGCAGAGAAAGACCAGGAGATGGCTGTGCAGGCATGCCTCGAATTTGGCTTTAAGCTTCTAGTTTGAACAGGTTTCAATCTACTCGAAGCTACCTGGTGTTGCGGCACCCTAGCCATTCTTGGCATGTTGATGGACCGGGGCGAGACGATAGTGAAGCCCGCATTGAGGCTTCCGGTGCACTGCGACGTGATAATGGCACGCACATGCGCGAATTACATCTGCCATCGAAGACCCTGGTAAATGCTATTTCACGTCCTGTAATTTCTTTCTTCATGGGGCCCCACACGGCTGCTCAGTACACGAAGGCGTGTCGGGCAGCAGGTGTGAGAGCGAGAGAATGGAAGGCATGACAACGGCAGAAAATTCCTGAAGCCTGGAGGCACAGAACGTAGTGAGCCCGGCACAGACTATCGACATTTGTCAACTGTCTCGTCCGCATTGTTTCCCGTCGGGACATAAGGTATGTGTTCTGCTCTCCAGAAAAATCCCGCCGATCGTACAGCCTATGATCCCACAGTGCACAACAGGCGAAAGCTAGGGTGGGGCAAGTTGGGCTCAAGATTCCCGCACGCCCGGAAGTTCAGTTCAAAGAAGACCGAGGGGACCGCAGTGCTGCACATGGGGCTCCGATCGTGTGGTCGCCATGGGTTTGTTGCTGCTCCGGCTTGTTTCGTTTCATGCGGTCGGACTCACGGTCCAGTGTCCTGGATTCATAACATATACCCTCGCGGGCAATACCACTACCAACAGTCTTGTCAAGACTGCCAGGCGCTACTGTAGACTTCTGGGGCTTACAGGACACAATGCGGGACAACACATGTCAGAAAATTCGGGGGGACCAACGCAACACAGGTCTGTGCAGACATTCCGTGCTGCGGAGCTGTTCTGCAGCAAGACAACATACAGAAAGCAATGGCGAGCCTGGGATGACTGAAGGAAGAGACGTGGTTCTTCGATTCTAAGCCTCCAGCAGGTTCTGTGTTGGTTTGGGGCCGCCTCTTGCGCCGGAGGCGCTGATGGTCGACAAGCATGAGCTCAAGAACGTGTTGACCAAGCACCTCGGCGCTGACCGGTCGCTCCAATCCTATGAACTCTTAAACCGTTAACCCGGAACCAGAAGCCTGGCAACTGATGGCAGCCGTCAGCACGCAACGCAGGCCCACCGTGGCACGGGTACCTCAAGGGCTGGAATCCTACGACTGTCCGCTGAAGTAAAGCTTTTGGTACTCAGGCTCTTCCGGGACATGGATGTGAATGACGATGGCTCTGTATGCTACAAAGAGTTCAAGCAGTGCATGCAGGACTGCGTTGATCGATTGCGTTCGTTTTCGAAGCGACCCCTCAGACAGGGCGGTGCCTGAGCCGAAGATGAGCCAAGTTGCCACGAATCCCCAAATCCTGCTGCCCTGAAGCCCTCCAAACCCTAGAAACTCTCACCAAGGAAGAAGCTCTTCAGCATGGTTCCTACAGACTTCAATCGCTCGCGCGCTGAACGCCAAACCAAAACACGTGAGCACAGATCTCAGATCAAAAGTTTCAAGACTTCGCCTCGGCTTTGTGGGTCTGAAAAGCCTTCTCTTTTCAAAGCCTATGAGGACGAGAAGGTGAAGAACCTTTTCGAAGCTTTGGACCTCGGGCCAGGGGATGCGACGCTCAGACTCATCTTGTGGCTTAGGGCTTCGGGATTTGAGGATTTCAGAGTCCCAGAGGCAATGGCTGGAGGTCATGGCAGCTTGAACAGAGATGAATGCCAATCTTCCTGAGAAGAGGAGTCGCGAACATACCAAGAGCTGTTATGCTCCTCTGTTGCATGTACAATCGTGAGATTGATGTTTGTCGCGTGATGGCGACCTTAGCCTTAGAACCCGCACGGCGGTAACGGGTGTGCCATTCTTGTGGCCAAAGCTGGTCCTGGAAGCTTGACAAACGACTTCCCGATCTGGCCTTTGATCAGGAAGCAGCTTTTCAAGATTTTGGATGTCAACAAGGACCCAAGGGCTCCAGTTCGAGTCAGCATGCCATTCTTGCCGCATTTCTGTGTCGACAAGGTGCTCTTACAGCGAGAAGCGCCTCTTATCCTGCGAGGTGAAGACCCGACTTTAGAAATATCCCGGGCAATGGAACAAGGACGCAAACAGTCGAGGATCCCAAAAGGCAGAAGCAAGGAGCAGAATGCATTGCAAAACAGATTCACCTTTAGACCTTATGCCACCCAGCAATCCCTGTGTGTGGGCGAGGATAACGTGCTTGGGGTGGACGAGTTCCTCGACGGCTGCACGCAATCTGGCTTCGATAATGAATGAGATGCTTTTGATGGTTAGGGATTCGAGTTCAGGCCAGTCCATCTGAACAGTGAGTATCAGGGCACTTCTTGTGGAGATTCAAGACACATCATGCTTGGCCGGGATTGGGTACTTAGCACTCGCCTCTTCTCCTTGACACAAGTCGTCTGCTTTCCTTCAGAAGGGATTGTCTCTCGACTGGTGCATGTGTTGCACTGTTATGTTGGTTTGCGTAGCTCCCGTCGATCTTATGTTAGACCTATGCCGCCCGCCCCCAGCTCTATTGAAGCAACTGGCAAACGACTATGGACAACTGAAGTTCCAAGCAACCGTGGACACCACCTGACCTGCTCTCGATTCTTCAGGAAGATCCAAGGGAATGCAAAAGCAATTGATCTCTTTGAACTCAGCGCCTCGGCGGCACTCGAGGTTGACGCTGTGTAGGCATCGGCATATTTAAGTTGGAAATGGTTTGACGGCCAGGTAGGGTTACAGAACGACAATCAGCAAAAAGACACCTGCCGTTTGAAAGGCCTTCCAAGGTGAGGCTGTTCTCTATCCGCAAGAGGAAGCTGTCCCACTGATTGCATGAAACAGCAGATCTTCAAGACTTGCGATGCTGTCTCGACATGTCAGGTATGCAAACCGGCAAGCTGCGAAAGCAGATCCATGAGAATTGCATGGTGCAGAGGCTGGCCGCTCGTGTCATGCCGGGGCTTTGAGAGTTTGGCGCTTACGTACAGGGTGATTGCCCAGGCTTCAATAGAGCAGGCAGAGATACGAAGGACCTCGTTGTCAAGAGGTGCTTAGGGGGACGCGCATGAGGCACTGATCTTGCCTTACGCCTTTGGCAAGGCTATCATTGCCCCGCTTATGCGAAACTTCTTGCTTTGGTCGCTCTCTCCGGGGCAACCTTGGGAATTTCACATTTCGGATTATCATTGCGAAGATTTGGGAGCCACATGCCGAAGCTATTTCACGTCTTGACGGTCGAGATGTCGGCAGCGCTGAATGGGGGAGTAGGATGATCTGTCCTGGGTGGGCGGCTGCATGCTAAATGCAACAATGCATGCAGAGCTTATGTCTGGCAGCCAAGTCCAGTGTGAGCAGCCCACGAGCAGCAAGCCGATACAGCATTGCGCATCCTTTCGAAGGCACATGCATGCAAAAGAGGTGCATGGGTGTGCGTGTGTGTGTGTGTGTGTGTGTGTGTGTGTGTGTGTGTTTTTGTGTGTGTGTGTGTGTGTGGGTGGGTGTGGGTGTGCGTGTGTGTGCGTGTGTGTGTGTGTGTGTGTGTGTGT